ATCTCTGACAGTAGAGAGATATTCTGCTAATTCATAATCTCTTTTAAGGGCAAGATAACATTCCAATCTACTCTGGCTTTTAGTTGTTTCTTCCCAATGGTCCAGATAGCTTTCTTTACATTGTGCTATAATTTGCTTTACTCTGATTACTGTTTGTAGAGCAGTGTTGTTGTGAGGCTGGTCAGAGTGTGTCTGAGAGGGGGCAGTTAGCCTCAGTACCAACTGACATAGGGGACTCTTTTCTGGGCTCAGCTCTTGGGTTTGGAGGGCTTTGGAGTGGAGGGTGTCTCTGGGGCTGGATTTCAGGTGGTTAAAAAAGTTGAGCGTTCTCTTCTGAATGTTAATTATCAGTGGGTATCTGCCTAATTCTGCTCTACATGCATTTGTATTTGTACATGCATTCTCTCTCTCTCTCTCTCTCTCTCTCTCTCTCTCTCTCTCCCCAACTGGTCAAGGCAGAACCACCACAGCAAGCTCCCTTACAATCCCCCCCCGCGCCAACTCTCATGGACTGTTGGGTCTCTGTAAATAATGTTATAAGGAGTTCGGTCTAGACCTGCTCCATTTGAAAAGTGTCCTGAGATAACTTCTGTTATGAATTGGCGCTATACAAATAAAATTGAATTGAAAAATTTGAATTGAAATTGAATTTACTTTAAAAGCAAATTTTTCTTTTAAAAATACACTGAGCAGAGGACACACTTTGTTTGCCCATTTGCCCAGGACACATTGTTCCCTTGTCTTATAGAATACGTCTCATCTTAAAAAGTAATGGAAAGTTATGAAGTTGCATTGCTTTAATATAGTGATACTTGGATTAGGTTACTGACTAAATTTTAACAGATAGTAATTATATTGGATTACATCTTTAGAGTAACCCTTCTAACCCTGCACTTTTGTAGCTTTCAGACATCTGTTTATTAACAGTTAATCTTATTTAATGTAATTAACTAACATACAGTCATGTGAAAAAATTAGGACACCCTATGAAAACATTTGTGTTTTTTAACATATTTAGACATATGGATATTTAATATAAATTTTAACAATACTGAGAGATTCAAGTAATATAACTAAACAAGTAAAACTGAAGAAAATAATTTTTAAAACTTTCTGTAAAATGTAATAAAATAAACATGCAATTTCTGTTGAGGAATAAATTAGGACACCCCCACATTTTTTCCTACTTAAAATGGCTGAAATCACACACAGGTGTATCACATCAGGTGCACGTGATTAGAACATTGTTACTCAGCATTTTGAAGGAGGCTTGCCCTATTTAAACCTCAGACATTCAGTTTGGTGTGCTCCTGACTGTTGACGTGAGAGTGAACACCATGGTGAGATCGAAAGACCTGTCTGAGGCCTTCAGAAAGAAGATTGTTGCAGCTTATGAGTATGGTAATGGATTTAAAAAGATCTCAAAAGAGTTTGAAATCAGCCATTCCACTGTCCGGAAAATAGTGTACAAGTGGAGGACATTCAAAACAACTGCCAACATGCCAGGTCTGGCCGTCCAAGCAAGTTTACCCGAGAGCAGACCGCAAGATGCTAAAAGAAGTCTCCAAAACCCCTAAAATGTCATCGCGGGACCTACAGAAGGCTCTGGCGACTGTTGATGTGAAAGTGCATGCCTCAACAATCAGAAAGAGACTGCACACGTTTAATTTACACGGGAGGTGTGCAAGGAGGAAACCTTTACTCTCCAAGAGAAACATTAAGGCCAGACTGAAGTTTGCCAGAGAGAACGTAGACAAAAAACAGGACTTCTGGAATAATGTTCTTTGGACAGATGAGTCTAAAATTGAATTATTTGGAGACCAGAACAGAGGACATGTTTGGCGCACACCAAATACAGCGTTCCAGGAAAAGAACCTCATACCAACTGTGAAGCATGGAGGTGGAAGTGTCATGGTTTGGGGATCCTTTGCTACAGCAGGACCTGGCCAGCTCACCATCATAGAATCCATCATGAATTCTACAGTGTATCAGAGGGTGCTTGAGCAACATGTGAGACCATCTGTAAGAAAATTAAAGCTGAAGCAGAACTGGACCCTGCAACATGACAATGACCCTAAACATACCAGTAAATCCACCAAGGACTGGCTGAAAACTAAGAAATGAAGAGTCCTGGAATGGCCCAGTCAAAGCCCAGATCTTAATCCCATTGAGATGCTGTGGGGTGACTTGAAACTGGCTGTACATGCAAGAAACCCCTCAAACATCACACAGGTTAAAACATTCTGCATTGAGGAGTGGGGCAAACTTTCCTCCGACCGATGTCAGAGACTGGTAGAGGGTTACAAGAAGCGTCTCACTGAAGTTATTTCAGCCAAAGGGGGTAACACTGTATTAGGGGGTAGGGTGTCCTAACTTTTTCCTCAGCTAGAATATACATTTATGTTGATGTCTTTTGTTTAATGAGTAAAACAATGTTATTTTTTGCTGTTTACCTGCAATTAGATCACTTTCTTTTCCAGAGATAAATAAAAACAAGATTCGACATCAATATGTGAACATTTCTTAATGAATAACTAAATATTTAACTGGGTGTCCTAATTTTTTCACATGACTGTAACTATATGAATGTATCTTTTTACAAGACAGGGAACAAACTCTCCCCCAAAAACATGAAAACATTTGTAACTAAACAACTAAACAACAAACAAAATTAACAAGTAAAAAGTACTTAAACTATAAGATATTTTGGAGCATGTCACCAAGTAACAAATAGCTATTAGCTCCACATGTAATCCCTGTAAACTCTTCTTCTTCAGACCACAGGACCCCACACTCCCAAGAAGCACAAAGAGCCATTCTGTAGTATTTTGAGAATTGAATAGAAGCGGCAAATTTTAATGTTTTCTTCCAGAAAATAGTAAGATGGAAATGGTTTTGGTCAGTGTTTACCTGCCAGCATGGCTTTCTAAAATTGTTCTTCATGCTGTCCCTGCTGTTTATTAGTCTCTGTTGTGGTTGTGAAGCCATTAGTTGGTGCATTAAATGTTGCCACAAGTATTTTGTTTGTTTTTCACCAGTGTGAAATATGGCCAACATTAGCAGATATCAAATAGCAATTTGCTTCATTCACATGGTGGCTAGTTTTGATTTACACTCTGTGGAGGCCTACACAGCAGAAAGAAACGATGTCAAACACACCAAATAAGCAATGATAAAATGTCCACCAAATCTGTCTTTGGACATTGCTGACTGAAAACCACAGCTGCAAGTCAAATTATTCAGTAAGGTACAAAATCCAAGATGATAGTATACAGTGGGCGGCTGTGGCCCAGAGGTAGAGCGGGTCGTCCACTAATAGGAAGGTTGGAAGTTCGATCCCTGGCTCCTCTCGCTGCATGTCCAAGTGTCCTTGAGCAAGACACTGAACCCCAAATTGCTCCTGATATGCATTGATGTATGAGTGTATATGAATGATTAGTTTCCGTTCTGGTGAGCAGTTGGCACCTTGCATAACAGCCACTGTCATCAGTGTATGAATATGTGTGTGTGTAAATTGGCATGTAGTGTACAGCGCATTGAGTGGTCGAAAGACTAGAAAGGCACTATATAAGTACCTGTTGTAGCAACAGAAACCACCCAGTTTATTTGACTCAACAATCTTGACACAAAGGCACTACGAGACATGTAATGTATTGTAATCTTCAGATTAAAGGTCCAGTGTGTAACATTTAGGAGGATGTATTGTCAGAAATGGAATCTAATATTCATAGATTTTATCTCACATACTAACATTCTAAAATGAGCATTGTACTTCAACATTTAGCTATGGCAGAGATTCTGTGGAATTTTTACTTGTTGATATAAAAATTCCAAAATTCAAAGCCTCTCAATTGTGAAAATTTGCTGCGACTTCATTGTCTACAGTGGTAGTAAAGCAAACAATCAACAGGTTTTGAATTGTGAGATGGATAGCTGCGGAATGCGACCAACACATTAATTAAATTATTATAATGCAAATGTAACTATAATAGTTATATTAAGTCCATAATTATTCTGTTGGCCCACTCCAGGCTCCATAGTAACACTCCAGAAATAACTATATTGTCAGTGTGTGGTTCATTCATTCAAGCAGGTTTGTTCTATACATTAATAAACCTCCAGAGACTGTTTGCAGAGCTTTAAGTAAAGACTTTAAATTGAGTTAATTTTACTCAGATTGAAACCCAGCTCCCCTCTCTCTCTCTCTCTCTCTCTCTCTCTCTCTCTCTCTCTCTCTCGCTGTCTGTGTCGCTCAGTCTCTCTCTTCCTCACTGAAAAACACAGCTTTGTCTCTGAGGCTTGTGGTGTCTCTGTCTCTTTATCTATCTGTCTGTGGGTCTGTCTGTCTCTCCAGAGACACAGCGCACCAGCGGGTGTTGTCACAGCTGAAGTGTTTTGGGAGTGAAGCATGATGGGAGATATGTGTCATGAAGTGTGTTTACTTGTCTGTGGGTGCTGTTCTGGCTGTTCTTTCCATAAGAGTGTGTGTGTGTGTGTGTGTGTGTGTGTGTGTGTGTGTGTGTGTGTGTATGTCTTGTATCTGCACAGGGCTATAAAACTGAAGTAGTCTTCTGTATCACCGCTTCCCTTCAGACTAGCTGACATCCTTTCCTGTCCTTTTCTTTCCCCTTTTCTTTTGCTTTGCTTTGCTTTCATTTTCTTTTCCTTTCCTTTCCCTTTCCCTTCCTTCCCTTTCTTTTTCTTTCCTTTCCTTTCAGTTCCTTGCCCTTTATTTCCTTTCCTTTTCATTTTCTTTCCTCATGCTTTTCTTTCTGTTTCTTTTTTACTTTCCTTTCCCTTCCTTTCCTTTGCCCTTCATTTCCTTCATTATCTTTTCATTGCCTCACCCTTAATTTCATTTAATTTAATTTCCCGTTCCCTTTCCCTTTCCTTTTTCCTTTGATTTGCTTTTGTGTCCTTCAAACCCACAGTGGCTGGTTCAATTGCCATTTCCATTAAAAGGTAATAGCATACCAGTACAAACCAGTTCCTCCCCTCACCTTTACTACAGGCCAGTAGTGTGGCTGCCCCAGGAGCTTGACAACAGCTGGGATACCATAGTGCAGCCGCACAGCATTCTGGGCCAGTTCAGCATCCTGGTGGCGGGAGGTGAGGTGACGCAGGGCGCAGACAGCCGGCTCAGCGACATCCTCCTTCTCCCCGGCACGAAGCACGGCGTGGATCAATGCCTCCACGCCGCCGTACTGAGTCACCAGAGTCTACAGGGTTACCAGGTTGAAGAGAACAGAAACACAGGTGCAGTCAACTTCATTTCTGGTATTGAAAAAAATTAAAGACAGAAATGTATTTACATAGAGGGAAGAGAAGACAACGATAAATAAATGGCGTGTGTGTCCAGGCTTGAAAGCAAAGAGAAAACAGTATCAATTTCAATATGATATATTGGTTTTGTAAATTAATTTTATTCAGGAGCGCAAAACTACACAAACTCACAAATACGCCAAAGACATAGGCTTTTCTTTCTCTGAATGAATGAATTCACAAAAGAACAATCAAGATACACAGGAAGACTTGAAATTGTGACCAGCTTTTAAAATCTCTGCATGGCTCTCAGGACCTGTAATCCTACAGAAGTTACTATGAATGTTTATTAAGGTGTGTCACACGCACATGAATACATCCATCCATCTATCTATTCTTCTGCAGTTGGCTCACGATGGCAGGAAGCTAAAAAGAGTTTCCCAGACATCCTTCTTCCCAGCAATACCTTCCAGCTCCTCTTGGGGAATATCTGAGATGTTCCAAGACCAGATGAGATGCACTTAAAAACGAAAATCTTAAGACCGGTGGAAAAATGACAAGTATTTGCATTTCGCGTTGGTGGAACATAACAAGATTGTAAGTAGAGCTTCAAAATGCCAAAAGAAGGAACAGGAGCAAGAGACAAAACAATAGCATTGGCAATTTATTGAAAATTGCATTTAAACTCAAATAGGCTGTTTATCAGCTGATCAAAAGTTTAAGACCATAGCTTTAAAAAACCCCAAAACAGAACTAAAAGTGTCAAAAAAAGGACTCAGTAGTGAGTAGCCCCACCGTTGTTGTTGATCACTTCCAAAATTCATTTAGACATGCTTGATGCGAGTGTTTCCAGGAGGATGGTGGGAATGTTGCTCCATGTGGTGAAGATGGCTTCACAAAGGGCATCCACGGTCTGGAACTGATCTCTGTTTTTGTAAACTTCCCTTGCCATCCATCCCCAAACATTCTCAATGGGATTTAGATCAGGGGAACACGCAGGATGGTCCAAAAGACAAATGTTATTCTCCTGGAAGAAGTCCTTCGTCAGGCGGGCGTTGTGAACTGCAGCGTTGTCCTGTTGAAAGACCCAGTAGATCATCACACAGACGAGGGCCCTCAGTCAAGAGGGATGACCGCTGCAACATCTCCACATAGCCAGTCGCAGTTTGACATCCCTGCACAACCTGAAGCTCCATTGTTCCATTGAAGGAAAAAGCACCCGAGATCATGATGGAGCCTCCTCTACTGTGCCGCCTAGAAAACATCTCCAGTGGGATCTCCTTGTCATGCCAGTAACGTTGGAAGCCATCAGGACCATCAAGGTAAAAATTTTTCTCATCAGAGAATAAAACTTTCTTCCACCTTTCAATGTCCCATGTTTGGTGCTCCCTTGCAAAGTGCAAACGGGCAAGTTTGTGGTGTGGGAGGAGAAGTGGCCTTTGAAGATGTTTTTTGTTCTTTAAGCCCTTCTGTCGCAGACACTGTCTGATGGTTATTGCGCTACAGTCAGTCTACCACTTGACATTTTTGTCCCATAACCCTCAGGACCTTTTAAGAAATTTAAAATGACTGTCTTACTGCGTCCAACCTCGGCAGCGATGGCGCGTTGCGAGAGGCCTTGCTTATGCAGCTCAACAATCCTGCCACTTTCAAAGACAGAAAGCCTTTTTGCCTTTGCCATCAGGTGGTCATTACAATGGAATGCTTGATAGAAAATGACATGAAAGCCTTATTTTTGCACAGATTTGGACTTTTTAAGGCTACGGTCTTAAACTTTTGATGAGCTGATGAACAGCCTGTTTGAGTTTAAATGCAATTTTCAATAAATTGCCTCCTCTATTGTTTTGTCTCTTGCTCCTGTTTCTTCTTTTGGCATTTTGAAGCTCCACCTACAACCTGGTTATGTTCCACCAACGCGAAATGTGAATACTATTTTTCTCCCGGTTTTAAGATTTTGTTCAGGAGTGTATATAATCCCTCCAGTGAGTTCTGCGCCTACCCTGGGGATCTCCTCCCAGTTGGACAACCACAGAAAACCTCCAAAGGAAAGTAGCCAGAAGGCATCCTAATCAGATACATGAACCACCTCAGCTGGCTTCTTTCAACACAAAGAAGCAGCAGCTCTGGCCCAAACTCCCTCCATATGTCCGAGCTCCTCACCCTATCTCTAAGGCTACGGACAAATATCATTACGGCAGTTTGTACATTCACAATCTCATTCCATCACTACCCAAAGTTCATGACTATAGGTGAGGACTGGAACATACATTGGCTGGTAAATCGAAGCTTTGCCTTCTGGCCTCTTCAACGGTCAGTAAACACAGTAAAAAGATTATGTGGATAAAGTCCATGTGAGTCAGTGAATGCTAAGGCTGCTTTTCTATGAGTATACTTGTTGCTGTGCACCTTTGTCCTCTCTTTATCCCCCCCCCATCTCTCTCTCTCTCTAACCCCAACTGGTCATGGAAGACGGCCACCCACAGGGGTCTGTCCGAGGTTTCTGCCTTTTAAAAGGAAGCTTTTCCTTGCCGCCGTCACCAAGTGCTTGCTCATGGTGGGAACTGTTAAGTCTTTTTATAAGGAGTACGGCCTAGACATGCTCTATTTAAAAAGTGTCCTGAGATAACTTTTGTTATGAATTGGCGCTATACAAATAAAACTGAATTGAATGGAATTGAATTTTACCTTTTTGGTCTGGTTCAGATTCTGGTGCATTTGTATGTTTAGTGCAGTTTGTTTGGACTGGTCTAAAATCTGTCGGAGGAATTAAAGCAGCCAGTCTGTGGTAGATTTGCTGTCCATTAAGACACTACAATTAATTCAGAACGCTGGTGCACGAGTACTGACAGGAACTAGGGAAAGAGATCATATCTCTCCTGTACTAGCTTCTCTACACCTAGATCCTCCGGCTCTAGGTGGGTGGTCTACTTGAGGTTAAAAAGACAGTGAACACAACCTTGACTAGACCTAAAAGGCAGCAATGGATTTTTTTCCTTGTGTGTTGTGGTTGAGGCAGACGACCACCCACCTAGAGCTGAAGGGTCTGTCCTAGGTTTCTGCCTCTTAACAGGCAGTTTTTCCTTGCCCCCGTCACCAAGTGCTTGCTCATGGTGGTACTGTTGGGTCTCTGTAAATGTTATAAGGAGTTCGGTCTAAACCTGCTCTATTTGAAAAGTGTCCTGAGATAACTTCTGTTATGAATTGGTGCTATACAAATAAAATTGAATTAAATTGAATTGAACTGAATTGTTTAATTCAGAATGATGAGATATACTATATGTATCCTATTCACAGCCTTCCTAATAGAGCGGAAGGTGTTGAAGTAGCAGAATAATACCCATGGTCTGGGAAATACATGTTCAACTATCACATATAGTTGAAATGTTCAGATCATCATGGTTACCTTGTTCCGTGAGTTATTACAGGTGAGGTTGGACAGGATGCCAGTTGCGCAGGTCAACATGTTGACATCATCTGAGCCCAGCTGGGTTACCAGTATCTGCAGCAGACCATCTAACCCCTCCTGTACAGAGAGACCAATGGAGATAGAGAGAACAAATGAACAAATTCTCGCAGAGTTGGTGAAGACCAAAACAGAGCTAAAAGAAAATGAAAATTGGATTTACATTCATCGACTTAGAACTTGGACTTAGGACTTGAATGAATGGATGCTGGATGTGTAAATAGGAAACTGAGCTGAACTGCTAGCAAGTTCACCATATCAACTTTATAGTTGCATTTGTTACTTCTAGGCTGGATAACTGCAACTCCTTATTATCAGGCTGCCCCAATAAGTCCATTAAGACGCTCCAATTAATTCAGAACGCAGCAGCACGAATACTGACAGGAACTAGAAAAAGAGATCACATCTCTCCTGTACTAGCTTCTCTGCACTGGCTCCCTGTAAAATTTAGAATAGAATTTAAAATCCTTCTCCTCACCTACAAAGCTCTTCATGGTCAGACCCCTTCATATCTTAAAGAGCTCATAGTACCCTATTACCCCACTAGAACACTACGTTCTCTGAATGCTGGGCTACTTGTGGTTCCTATAGTCTCTAAAAGTAGAACAGGAGCCAGAGCCTTCAGTTACCAAGCTCCTCTCCTGTGGAACCAGCTTCCAGTTTTGGTTCGGGAGGCAGACACCCTCCCCACATTCAAGAGTAGGCTTAAGACGTTCCTCTTTGATAAAGCTTATAGTTAGGGCTGGATCAGGTGAGTCCTGAACCATCCCTTAGTTATGCTGCTATAGGCCTAGACTATGGGGATTTCCCATGATGCACTGAGCTCCTCTCTTCCTCTCTCTCTCTTTCTGCACTCATTCATGTCCCATTAATGCATGTTACTAACTTCACTTCTTCCCCGGAGTTCTTGTGCTTTCTCGTCTCGCAGGTTCTCATGGATCCTGGTGGAGCCTCCTGCCATGGTCCTGCTTGACTGCCATTGCTAATATCACTGATATTTTTGTTATTAGAGACCTCACAGTGTCAGTCTCTATTGTTATTGCTAAAGTTATTATTATATGCGGGAATGTTTAACTGCATTTTTGACCCCCTGAACATATACAACGTTATTATTACAATTTTATTTGGCAAAGTGGTCAGGCCTGGTGAAACTTAGATATTCTATGCGTCGGTTTCAGGTCGGCCACTAGGTGGCGCTACTATTAAGAAAAGTAGGTTTAGGCTAATAACTCCTGCAATGTTTGTCGCACATTCAAAAACATTATATTTACGCGTTTTGATGAATGGAGCTGCATCTACCTATATAGGCCACGCACACTTTCGCCTAGATTTTTTTTCGCTAGAGTGCAAAATGTAAAAAAACTACATTTTCGTGTTCTGTCCATGCACTTTTGGCCGATTCGCACGAAACTTGTCACATAGCATCTGGAGAATGTCCTGACAAAAAAAGTAATTTAAAGTATTTTGATATTTAAAAAAATAAGCACCTTATAAAATTGGCACTTTCTGTAGATTATGGTCAAAACAGGAAGTGGAGCATTTCTCCACAGTGGTATGTTCAATTGACACCAAGCTTGGGTGTATAGTTCCACATGTCTTCCTTAGACATCGTGTACAATTTCAGGTCATCGCCACAAGGTGGCACTCTTTATAATGAAGAAGTTTATATCTCCACATCGCCACGTATGATTAAAACGAAACTAGGTACGATGCTTGCCAATGGCTCCCTGAGGCTCACTTAAAAAGGAGAAAAAAAACACACCACTGGTGACGCTCTGGTGCCATGGTAAATCACTCTGCGGAGACCGTAATAGTTATGAATATCAAATTCACAGGACACGCGTAGACTGATGCCTATAGCTCACATACCAAAAATCGTGTTTGTAGCGCCCCCTACAGCATTTCAACAAAGCAGCCGCGGCGCCACATTTCACCAATATGTATGAAACTCGGTAAGCACGTGTAACGTGCCGATACCTACAGAAAAGCCTCTATGACCCATGCCCCAAATCCCACAGGAAGTCGGCTTTTTGATTTTCTTTTTTACTCTCGGTGGCCATTTTGTTTTCATTTTCACTTTTGGCAAATTTTCGCCTTGTATTTGAACGAGCTACTCCTAGGGAATTTATCTGATCTGCTTCAAAATTGGTCAGTACAGTCAAAACATTTTGCTGACTGAACGCCATGCTATTTGTGAATCTACGATGAAGGGCGTGTACGTGGCGTGCCACCAAAGTTGGCCATTCTGTTGTCATTTTCTTTGAATTTTTGCCTTGTATTTGAACGAACGTCTTATAGGGAACTTATCAGATCGGCTTCAAAATTGGACAGTACAATCAAGAAATGTTACTGATTAAAACTTGCGCAATTTGCGACTGTATGTTGAAGGGCGTGTCTGTGGCATGCCATCAAAGTTGGCCAGCTTGAATCGAATATCAAGCTGTGATGCCATTTCTGGCATTTCAGGGCTTCTATTTTAACTAACTCCTCCTACAGATTTTATCGGATTGACTTCAAATTTGATCACTGCAATCTAGACACATTGGTGATCAAAAGTTAATCAAATATTTACTGTGCGTCAAACGGCGTGTCCGTGGCATGGCGCTGAATTTCCAAGTTTCACAGTGAAGAATCTTGCTATGAAAGTGTAAGTCTTTTGCACGGTGTCTGAAACGTGTGACAATGTAGCGTGTCTCCCTCAGCTTCCAGCGATGAAGGCTTGGGCATGGGGTGACGTGGCATGGCGCCCGAGTTGCGTGGAGTGCGTGGTCCCACCCAATGCTGCTTGCAGCTTTAATTATTATTATTATTAATATTATTATTACTACAGTTACTGTTATTACTATTGTCACTGCTAATTGTCCCCCATCGTTGTTGTCGTCGTTGTCATCATCTTCGTCCCAACTGGTCGAGGCAGACGACCACCCACCTAGAGCCGAAGGGTCTGTCCTAGGTTTCTGCCTCTTAAAAGGCAGTTTTTCCTTGCCCCCGTCGCCAAGTTCTTGCTCATGGTGGTACTGTTGGGGGTCTCTGTAAATAATGTTATAAGGAGTTCGGTCTAGACCTGCTCTATTTGAAAAGTGTCCTGAGATAACTTCTGTTATGAATTGGCACTATACAAATAAAATTGAATTGAATTGAATAGTGTGATTTAATACACTTTATGGGCAAAACTTAATGGCACCCCTTCTAATTGACGAATTTTGCTCTGTGCTCCAATAACAATTGAGCAAGCCTGGGTCAGAACCTAAGTCAACTTTCTCCTTTCCTGTACTTAGATATGGAAAAGACATAATAAGATAAGATAAAGTCACATCAAACTATAGGTTAGTGTAGATTAGCCAGCTAGTTAGCTAGGATTTTGCCAACGTTAGTTAACTTAAAAGCCCAAGTCCATTTAAGAGGATCTACTGCAGATGCTGAGGGTCACCTTCAATGGACTCCGCATATCTAAATACAGGAAAGGAGAAAGTTTATTCAAATGTTATTGGAGCACTGACCAAAAAGTGGCAGAGCTTAGGAAGGGTCAGCTGCTGGAGACAGTTTGTCTTAAGTACAGTCTTCTCCAAACAGCACGGTTAGTAGTAACACAGCAGAGCAGCAAATCACAGGTTGTATCCTGCATGCCTAGCACTGGAATCAATATTTGTTGTATTAGTAGTAGTGGTAGTTGCATTGGTGGTAGAAGGAGTAGGAGTAGGAGTAGTAGGAGTAGTGGGTGAATCAATACATGCCTGTTTGGTTGCAGCATCTGACAGATTGCGGAGTGTCCACAGACAGTTCTGGATCAGACGCTGACTGGAACCTGTAAGATGTTGGCCTAAAGCCTGCATACCACCTAAACACAGAGGCAAGAATACAGTTACATACAGTACAAACATTTACACTGAATGTTCTACATTTGTGTTCAGTGATGTGGACATACCAGCCTCTACTATCGCTGGCTTGTTGCTGGGACAGACAGACAACACTTTGAGAACACGGCTGGTGGTCCACAGTAGCTTCTCATAGTTGTAGTTCCTCATGATGAACACCAGACCCTCTGGGCCCCCATTGGCTAGGATGATCAACTGACAGGAAACAGAAAGTAGGAGGTGTAATTCTTTAATAAATAAGTGGACACAACAAGGATCTCCTACCCAATACAGTGCTGCAGAGATTACATATTTTTATTGCCCAACCTGAAAGTTAGCATCGTCTTCAACAAAAAGCCAATGGGATTTTTGCCACTGGCATTCCAAAGGTTTATTATACATGTTTTGGTCAGCAAGATAATCATCACAAATGAACTCCGTAAATGCAATCAGAAGTAAAAGGCTGATGCTATAACCAAACTACACTGACATTCAAGCGCCACCACCACTGAACTTGAATTGAAACGTATAAGTTGTAAAGATTGAGTTAGAACAGTTTGCAAGAGAGCAAGTATAAACACAACAAGGTTGTAAAGGTGGACTAGTGAGGAGATAAGTTCTATGTTTTAATGTCACCAACAACCTCTGTAGTCTCATTTAGCCACTTGTTAACAACCGCCCTTTTAAAACACGTTCAAAAGCACAGGTGGGGTATTTACCTTATGTCACAGAACAAAACTTGAAACATCTCTTAAACTCCAACCACAGACCTTATTTAAGACGTCTAACTAAAAACCAATTCAAAAACCTATTAACTTCCAGGAGAGGGAACCAGAAGGGCAAGGATAACAACAATTCTGGGTTTTAGGACTTATTCCTGCAGCCCTCTATATCCTGTCCTCACCTTGCTCTCCTGGTTGCCATAGGACAAGAGCTGCAGACAGTCAGTGGTGATGGCAAGGAACTTGGGGTTACTCTTTTTCAGTAAGGGGACCATCCTCTGCAGGCCATCAGCAAGACGTACCGCCATCTTGGTCCCCTCCTGGTGCAGTAGCAGGTTGTGTAGTGTTGTGATGGCGTAAAATAAGATTGATTCCACCGGTGTACTGCATGAGGGAGTTAAACAGAGATAGAAAGAAAAAAATATAGATATTTCATAAAATGAACTAATTTCAAGGGACATTAAGCAATGTATGACCTTTACTGACCTCTGTCTGCTACCTATCTCATTCTATACAAGTTTGTAGGACATAGGGCGAAGAAGCTTTTATGGTTAGTGTTTCTTGCCGCAACTTCCATCATTGAGCAGTTGAAAGGGCAAGAGTGTGTGTGTGTGTGTGTGTGTGTGTGTGTTTGCTTGTGTGAGAGAGAGAGAGAAACTTGGAAATGTCAGTACTTGGTGAAGCAATCACTAAGACATTATTATGGATCAGCAACCTTCTGAATTCATAACCTTACAGCCAACCTCCTCTGCAAAACCAACTGTTTTGGAATATACCTGCAATTTATACGATCTAAAGAAAATTACATTCCAGTCGTTTAATCGTTTTAGCCCACCACCAACCGTTTTACAGCCTTTTGGCATTATCACTACAGCAAGGCGTGTACATGTACTAAAGAGTCAAAGGTCCAGTGTGTAACATTTAGGAGGATCTATTACCAGAAATGGAATATCATATTCATATGTATGTTTCATTAGTATATAATCACCTAAAAATAAGAATTGTTTCTTGGTTCCTCTTCTAGGTAGTCATGTTGAACCGCCATGTTCAGCCCTATCTACTGGCTGTAGATAGGGCCTTTTGCGTTTTTCCCAGGCACTGTAGTTTGTCCTACACAGTTGTCAGGCGAGAGAGTCGAAATGTGCAACTCCACCGCTACATATCACTAAATCACTAAAGTGTGTTTTTTATTGTACAAATTATTTTTTAGCCATGTTAGTGGGATGGCGGTTGGGATGGCTCTGACCTGAGGAACAACCCCTTAGTTCATTCTGTAGCCACTAATACTTTTCTGTTTTGCATAATATTGGCCTCATTGCTTACCCTTTGACCCCTGCAGGAGGCCATTTTGTTTTTTAGAAAGAGCACATGGTGGAATTTGGCATGCTTATCAAAACATCTACATCCATCTTCTTTTGGGATCACTTATAGAAGCACTGTCTGTAAGTATAGTTCTTATAAGGTAGCTTTATTTGCGGTAATGATCATATTTGTGTAGATGGCTTTTGTTTGTTTTTTGTGTCATATTCTTTTCATTGCGCACCATGTAACCTGTCCTGCTAATGGCTTTCAGCTAGCTATATATATTATATATACTGTCAGTACAAAGCAGTGATGTAAAATAAATCCGTCATTCACTGACTACAGTGTGTTAAAGGAGTTATCTGTCTCAATAAGGAAGAGGACTCTTTGATGCGGGTAGAACAGGAATGGCAGTGTTGGTTTCTCTGTTGGTCGATGGTCAGTCAAGGAAAATGCTTATATTGGTCAAGGGCGACTTAATTGCGTAGAAGGTTACATTTGGACTTTTGTTTTGGTTACAAGCATGCCTTTTTGACAAAGTTAACATGCTAAAGTCTAGAGATGTTTTCTGATACCATTTTTTTCTTCCCAAAACGGTATCCGATACCTGAACTTTGTCTATCAGTATACTACTAAGCATGTATGAATTCTATCATTGTTGAATGTTTTAGGTGAAGTATTGGAGGAGTTTCCGATACTGGTATCAATATCGGAAAAACTCTACTAATTGCAATTTAGTTTGGAGTATTCTGCTGGCTTACATCTGTATATATATATATACAGATGGTGAGATAGGAAAGATAATTAAAAAGATAACACATCAGACAATGTAGATTCAAAGACAGGTAAAAGTATGAGGGAGGAAGAGATAAGACAGCCTCCACAAAGAAAAGAGCACATATATAAATGTATTATGACAATGTAGCTTGTTCAAATTGATAATCAACTTTTATCCATAGAACATCATAGATCAACTCTGTCAACATGCTGTAGAAAAAGAATAATCTAGAGAAGGAGAAAGACAAGTTTTCTGACTTGACCACACACACACACACACACACACACACAGACTTCATTATACAGGAGGTTGCAGAGGGTGACAGTGGCAAGGAACAAAACCAAACCTCATGACAAAATTAAAAGGCAAGGAGAGCAAGGGTGGGAGAGTGTGTATTAACAGGCAGAGGTGAAGAGGGATGGAGAGAGAAAAGCTGCATGTTGATAGCATAAATGGAAGTGACACACATCAGACGGGCTGCTCTCTGTGAAGCTTTTTACTTTAGATTTTTTTTTAATTCAATTTTCTTTCATTTTTATGTGTGAATTAAGCTCCCCCGAATCAATTATGAGTGTGAATTATCCTTTCCTGTTAAGCCTCAATGTAAGGGATTAACTCTGCAGCCCTGCCTGGGGGTTGGCAAGGCCCTGGATTTTGTGCTAAAAGTTGTGCCTTAGCTGCTACAATTTTCCATCTGCCTCCAGTTGCCGTGTTGGATGTGGAAAGCTTTCAGTAGGTCATCATATGGCAACCTGAAAAACTGTTGCACAGCTTTGTAACCATCTGAAACCACTTGACTCAACCAAGCGCAAAGGAGAAACTACGGTGGCTTTGGGTAAAAAAACATAAGCAAGTATTTGGTTTGTCTCTTCTTGGGCTCCTGTTGAAACATGGTGTAGAAACATTCTTATCTTCAGGGAATTATACACTAATAATTATGAATGCTATACTGTATTCCATTTCTGCCAATAGATCCTCCTAAATGTTACACACTGGAACTCTAATACAGAAAAGTATAGTATCACTAATGCTGCATGTATAGCTACCTCCACTATCATATGATCCTTTTAACATGGTCGCCCATTTACAAAGACTCACTCTGCACCATACCTGCCTTGTGGTATTTTCATTCCGTGCCATTTCGTGATCCCATGCAAACCCACCCTTTCATCATGCAAAAGTCAATTTTCTCTTGTCAGATCGGAAGAGTCAATTTTCAATTTGACCTTGGAACTGCCATCTGTTTTCCTAAATATCAGATCATGCCAGCTGGCTTGTGGTCAAAAATCAGTTATTATAAGGTCCAGTATGTAACATTTAGGAAGAGCTGAAGTCAGAAATAGAATATAATATTTTTTAGGTATGTTTTCATTAGTGTATAATCACCTGGAAATAAGAATCGCTGTCTTTATCTACAGGGGGAGAAGGTCCTCTTCTACAGAGTCCGCCATGTTGAACCGCCATGTTTTGAGGCCACCGTTTTTCTGGCACCAGGGTTCAGCAACCTTAACTATCAAAAGAGCCATTTTTAGAGCTACAAACATATTTGTTTGTAGCAGATCAAACCAAAAAATCTGTCCACGCACTACTGCTATTAAGATTCAGCAAAATATGGAGGAAAAGACATTAGGTCAGGATGTAATGTACAACGCACATTTTAGTTGATGAAATGTTGATTAAAAAAAATGATTTGGTGTGTAATAGAAACACATTTTTGCATGAATATAAGAATCACTTTGGACCTATAACAATAATGAATGAAAATGTCACTATTTTTTACCACTGAAATCTAACACACAGATTGCCATTGAATTTACACCAATCAGCCATAATATTCTGAGCACTTGGGTATACCAACAAATTGTGATGCACTGTGTGTTCTTACACCTTTCTATCAGAACCAGCATTAACTGTTTCAGCAGTTTGACCTACAGTAGCTTGTCTGTTGGATCGGACCACTCGGGCCATCCTTCGCTCCCAATGTGCATCAATGGGCCTAGGCCCCCCATGACCCTGTCTCCGGTTCACTGCTTTTCCTTCCTTGGATCACTTTTGATAGGTACTGACCTCTGCAGGCCGGGAACACCTCACAAGAGCTGGAGTTCTGGAGATGCTCTGACCCAGTCGTCTAGCCATCACAATTTGGCCCTTGTCAAAGTCGCTCAAATCCTCACGCTGTCCATTTCTCCAGCTTCTAACACATCAACTTTGAGCACAAAATGTTCACTTGCTGCCTGGTATATCCCACCCACTGACAGGTGCCATCATAACCAGATAATCAGTGTTATTCACTTTACCTGTCAGTGCTCACAATATTATAGCTGACCAGTGTATATTCCCATAGGCAAAAACAACAATTTTTAATTTAATAACACCATGTTCAGGCCCACTACTGGTAAGGTCAAATTGACAGTATATTGTTTGTTTTAATGATGTAATTTATTGTAATCTAATCATGCAGTACTGAAGTATGCTACCTTAGCATGCGGACTAGTGCTGGTATCCCTCCAGACTTGAATATGGCCAGTAGTCCCTCCCTCTGATGGGACAGGCTGTGGAGCACGCTGGCAGCGCAACGGGCTGTCTCCATGTCAACTGCTGTCGTCATGGCACGCACCACGGCACCTACCATGGCCGGGGACTGCACTAGCACCCGGCGACTGGCCTCCTTACGGGTCAGTTGGTTGACTATCATGGCTGCCTTGTTCACCACAACCTAGAGAGTAGAGAAAGTGTAAAATAGAACATGTGTGTCTGAAAGCTCAATTAGCAAATTAGTAGTGATTCATTGTGACAGTGTCTTACCGGATCTTCATCTGCCAGAAGCTTGGTGAGCTCTGGCACCGCCCTGGTGGCCAGCTCAGCATCGTCCTGGTAGTTTATCAGGTGGACGATAGCAGTCTTCAGCAGCTGGGAGGGTTCAGCCAGTCGCTGCACATTGCTCTGCTGTGTAGGATCTGACTGGACAGGTATAGCCGCCTCCCCTTCCACCAGGGTCTCTGGGAACATGGCAGCCCTGACACGCTGAGCCCGGGTTAGTGAGTACTGAGCATCTAAATCTGTCACAGGAAGGTGGAGATAGAGAGAAAGGAGGAGAGAATGTGAGACTGCTTATGTATGTGCATGAGTGCGTTGACACAGACAAAAACCTCTGGACCGTTAAATATAAAAACAAAAAGAGGTTCTGTGTTTAGGGTGTACCATCAGAACTCTTAAGGTGTTTAATGGTTTGTGATAAGTGCTGACTCTGGTTCGATGTTGTGGCAGTCCAAAGGGAGTCCCACTTGGATGCTTTTGATGGTCTTGATCCTGTTGAGTGAACAGTGCTGTCCTTGGGCCTCATTTATAAAGATCTGTTTTGATGTTAAGTATGAAGTACACAGGAAACAACATATAAGTAGTTATTTTTAAAACCTCACTTTTTTAGTGGAAATGACCTTATCTTTAAGCAGTGTAGACTTGACATAAGGGGTTTTCCTGCTGGTTATGTAGGGGTACTGCAGCCTGTGGTTTTGCATGACAACAATGTGACAGCTTATAAACGGGGGTCTCTGATGGTCCTGTTCACCTTCTTCATACACCGCAAAGTAGTAATTCCTCCTTGGATGGCAGCTTTGTCCAGGTGATCTAGAGCCTTACGTTTGAGGGCAGTGCAATTACCCAACAGGTTGTGGACTTTCAGAAACAAGTGGGGTCTACAAAGAGGATCAGTCAGAGGTTGAAAATGTCTGTGAAGACCTCTGCCAGTGGGCCTTGTGTGTAATAATCCTTTTGAAGGTTTTGCCCACATCAGAAGTAAAACTGAGCAGTGATCTGATTTGCCGAAGTGGAGGCAAGGGAAGGCCTTATATGCATCCTGGAAGAGAGTGTAAACAAGTGTGTTACCTTTCCTCAGTTTGGTGGTTTTAACATTCCCAGCCACAATAGGAGAAATCTCCAGCGATAAGGTCTTTTTCTGTCAATTACTCCATACTACTTAGGGTTTGGTTGGTGTCAGCATGTGGTGGAATACACTCCACCGTGAGAACGACCAGTGTAAACTCCCTAGGGAGATAATAAGGCCAGCATCCGATCAGAAGGGGCGCTAGCTTAGAAGAACAGCCTGAACAACACTGGTTATTGATCATAAAGGCTTGATTTTTCCCAAATTCTGTCTTCCAGTCCTGGCTTTGAATGTAGATCCCTTAGTTCGGGATTGAAGGGTTGAGCCACCTCTCTCAGTGTCATGTTGAAAAGCCATCCCACTCCTGAGCTTGTCCAGCTTATTTTCCTGTGCCTTGACACTGCTAGAAAAATGTAGGTAGGCCGGTTTACACCGGCCCCATGACCCCTGTTTCCTTTGTTGCCTCTTTTTTCCAGGTGCATCAGCCTTAGATATTCCTTACTGTTCACTGATCATGGTGAGGAAGAGATGTCCACCAATTATCTCATGTGCAAAAGTTGTTCTTCATCATATTGTATGATAGGGTTTGTTTGGGTTGCATACATGATATAAAAAAGACAAAATAAATAAACAAATAAAACGAAAAAAAAAAAACAAAGTTGAGGAGGAGCTCAAGATCCCTCTAGAGCCATTCTTACTGCCATCTACATTAACCTTTACTTGCAGCTCAGTGAAGTTGTACTTTGGCACAAAGGCAGGGGAACTGAGCTAAATACTACATAATATACTGAGCATTGTTTATATGTTGATGTTTCACAGTTCTAATGTTTGTAGCTATAATGTTTTGATGTAACAATTTTCAGTGTGTTAACATTTGCTAATTTGCATTACACATAAAGTGCATCTGAGGCTGATGGGAAGTCCGAAGGATCACCAATGTTCCCCCAATGTTCCTCCCATTTTCTTTTTTTTTAGATTTCAGTTGACCGAAATTGCCGTAGACCTTTTTCACAGCATCCATTTTGACATGAAATAGTAGTAAACAATGATATTAATAAAGTTTCCATTCAGGTCAAACAGAGTCTGGGTGCTGTTATTGTGCATGTTGGCTCACTGGAAAGGCTCTGCTAAACTAAATGGAACAGAACCATTAGTATCGTTGATAACACCTGTGGTTACCCTACATTTGCATGTCAAACTGGCTGCTGTGAAAGAGGTGCACTTTTTGCAGTGTCATTAGAAAACAAACATGCATCTAAAACCCACTCCTCACTCACTTAATGAGCCTCTGAAATGCAATTTTGAGCCAACAGTATTTGAACCTTTCAAGTGCAGAACTTGGTGCAGCTAATTAGGATGATGTGTACTTAAGCTTTACAAGATGAAGCAGTGGAATAATTGCAGAGTTTAAGAAGAAGAATATAACCATCTGCTGTTGAATCTAGAGGCTGATTTTTAATTCGCTAACTGAGTGCTAAATGATATTTCTTGTTGAGCCTCAGGTGTTATCGTCATTAAAGATATTTTTTAATCGTGCCTAAGAAGGAATAATTGCTTGATAGATTACTTAATCTCAGAGCTGATGACAGTCTTGTATTCACCCTTATTAGTTAGTTATTAGAGGGCAATGGTACTTGTGAGTCTGAAGAATGTTTCACTGCAAGCAATAGAAGAAATCTCTAGTACCTATAGTACAATGCAAATTCAGAGGACATCATTCCAGGTTCAGAGGAAGTTAAGGGAAAGAGTAAAAGCAACTAGAGATTTCAGAAAAAAATGCTAAATTTAGCTGGCTTTTATCTGTATTAAGAAGCATCTGAAGGTGTATGAAGAGATGGAAGTGGGTCTAAATAGTATAAATGAACCAAGAAAAAGCAACTCTATTCAGAAATCTTTTGTGGGGGGGGTTAAATTCAACGCCACACCACAGACATGAAACAGATAATCTGAGTAAAAATCAGGTTCCTTTGGCTCCTCCTAGTGCTCTTAATGTTAATTGTAAGAATCCACCAGACCAGCAACCACTAAGAGCCGAGATAGTTGATTATTATGTCTCACTCCCAGGGCGTCAAATACAGACACTTTGACCATGTTCAATGCTCAATTCAGATTTTTTGCTCAGATCAGATTTTTTGTTTGGCTGTTCACATTACCTTTTAAAATGTGGCCTATATCCGATTCCAGTGTGAACTGTTTGCGGTTTCGAACTGACCCGCATGCGCAAAAGAACAATAACAATGACATCAGCACTAAAGTTAGGGAGGTTATGGAGGAAGTAACCATTTTCGCTTTTATTTCAAAATGTTTGTGTAATGGCAGCCGTAACATTAATGAGCAGGTGCTGAGGAGGAGGAGAAGAATGAAGAGAAAGAGAGCCAAATTGGCTATTTTGGCCTTTTGCGGGGTTATGGCTGCAAATTATTTATTATTAACTTATTAACTCGCCGGCGCATAATTGTGACAAATGTCGATGTAGATTGACGTAAAAGTCGCATCAACTCCGCCTTGGTTGTTCACACTGCGGCCGCACTGAAAAAAATCAGACCTGGGTCTGATTCAGGACCACATATGGAAGTGGTCTAAATCTGATTTGAAAAAATCAGATCTGGGCAAGATTGGAGTGTTCACACTACTTCTGAAGAAGTCTGACCTGGTCACTTGACCCCCAAAAAAATCAGATTTGGGCCACTTTTGCCTGCAATCTGAACATGGTCTAAGGGACCCTGGAAATGAGAGTCAGTAATCAACTATCTCAAGCCTCCAACCCAAACCGTCTTTATATCTTTTTGGCTCTGATTGTTTTTTTTCGTTCAGGCCCGGTGGATTCTTGCAAATACCATTAGGAGCACCAGAAGGAGCTAGAGGAACCAGATTTTTTCACAGATTTATCTCATGTTTAATTGTCAGGATATAGTGAAAGTTTTCAGCAAAAATGACTGACTGTTTTTATAAAATTACCTACTGCAGCTTAAAGGTGGATCCGGTCAATCTGCTAGGAGGAACATGAAAAATTATTAAACACGTCACTCCCTGTTGCCAGTAGGTGGCCATTTTACTAGGAAGGTAGGTTTGGTGATTTAAAGACACAATTTGGTGTAATAATAAAATGAAGGAGCTAAAAGCCTTGCTGGCTGACAATGACCTTTGGAATGCAGAGAGAAAAAGGTGATAAATAAGTCAAACACGTCTTGTGCGATTATCTATTGGGTTGACACATCACTTAGTTTCTTTTTACTTTGTACAATACTTATTTTGGGCGTCAGGTAACTAACTAGAAGCAGAGTGTAACATAATGCACTGACATGGAAAGGTTCATTACATTGCTGGGGAAAGAGGATAAAAAGACTGTTCCATCATGTTTACCTGGCAGTGTGCAGACATGTTCAGGAGGGACGGAAAGGGGAGGGACACTGTACCACCGTTCTGCTGGTTTAAGCCAGTTAACTACAAGGAGCTTATATTTCCAATCACATCCTTGGATTCATTTGTGTAATCATGAAGGGAACTAGTTCAGCAGCTAGAAATATTGTACTTTTGTAAAGAGTAATAAGTAATGAGCCCGACAGTGCCTGTATTTTACTTGAGTATTTCCATTTTATGTTACTTTATACTTACACTCCACTATATTTCTAAAGCTAATATTGGATGTATTACTCCACTACTTTTATTTTAAACATATATTCACTAGTTAATTTTTACAATCAGTAGTGTACAAAGCATTAAAACATTAAAACGCAATGTGTGTTTGTTGGTGATAAAAAAGGAATACTATATATATAATATTCTATGCTATAACAGCATAATGACTACTTTTGGTTTTCATTCTTTAAGTACATTTTGCTGAGAATACGTCTGTATTTTGAGTTAAAGGGACTTCGATATTGTGTTGATTCTGCCGGATTCTGTGGACATAATCAGTGGTGTTTCTACTGCCTCGTTTTATTGATGTGAAGGGGAATCTGACATTAAGACATTAAGGCATCCATATTAAATTGAGACTGCTTCATTACCAGTTAAAAACTCCTTGTACGTTTAAGTAACATGTTGAAATCAGGACTATTACTTGGAACAGTATTTTTAGACTTAAGTATTTCTAATTAAAAAGTAAAAAATCTGAGCATGGACCACCAGTGTCTGAGATTTGAGACTTGACTACAGCCTTTTTTATGCAAGACC